TCAGAAACCGTCTCTCTAAATCAGTCAATACGACGTTTCTTGAAGCAAAATTGCATATGACAATCATTAGCAGCAAGCTGTTCTCTACCTCTGTGAAAGATAAGCTCCTCCGTGCATCTATCAGTTCACCTACTGTTGTGGAGCAAGGTACATTGGCCGTAGTCAGAGGACGCTTTCCACATGGATACGAGAACATATTCCAGCATGGGTCTATAAGGGAGAAAGGAAGTGTGTGCGAAGCTCCATTCTGGAACACCTGATCTACTTCTGTCACTCTGTCAACCCTGACCATGACTTCAAGATAATATATAGAATCCATGCTAACTTTCCGCGTTTTCTTCGTTACAGACTTCTACAAACTAGAGGGAATAACACTTCAATCACTTCAGACTCACTTGGACTTAGGTGTCATAGTTAGCCACGACTTAAAAACTACAGCACACTGCCACGCGGTGGCTGCACGTAGTTTCAGGTCATTATGGGCAATTCGCAGAGCCTTCACTAGAATCACCAGAGATATGTTCACCTCCTTATATGTTTGGTGAGGTCAAGACTGGAAAACTGCCAGCCCTTGTCTAAGAGGGGACTCACATATTCTATAAAGGGTTCAAAGGAAGGCAAAACGAATGGTTCTCGGAATGACTAATTTATCATACGAGGAAAGGCTTGACAGTTTAAATCTCTTCTCCCAGTCATACCGTAGGCACAGAGGAGATTTAATCTTAATATTTAAAATTTTGAATAATGACTACGGACATGACCTATTCTCTCTTTTCCTTCCCACCAGGTAGCGACACCTTGGAGGACATAGCAGGAGAGTTCAAAAGCCAAGAAGAAATCATATTGCTGCTGAGTGCTGGTTCTCACATCGAGTCATAAACTCTTGGAACCGACTCCCAGAAGAAGTGGCGTCTGCAACCTCAACTGATTCGTTCAAGAAGAGTTTCAGCAACCACAGAAATTTACTAAAAGAGGATTAACATAGGCTCCAAGCCTTCTATCCTCAACCAATAAATCTGAAATCTAAAAACAGCTGAGGCCTTGGCAATTCATGACTTTAAGCCAGACCTTTGTGTACAAAAGATGTATGTACAATCCCTACTTCTGCCTTGGCTGTAGAGGAATGGACATTTATTTATTTGGTTATTCTATGTACTTTTCCCTTATTACTATTATTATTATTATTACTATTCTCACTCTGAATCCTTTCCACTTGACCCAAGTGTCATTCTAAACACAGAATTATTTATTTTTATTTTTATAATATTGAATCCTATCTAATCAAATTTCACACCATGTTATGTAACATTTTATATTCGTCTACTAATCCTATAATTATGTACCCCATTCCAAAATCTATGCACTTTATGTATTATTCTGTATATGACATCAATTATTTTGCCACTTGACATTAAACTATGATTATAATCACGAATATTTTAATTGCATTTCATACTGTTATTATTTCATGTATTCACACCTTTGATCTAATTCCCTCACTGGATATAATTTCTTAAGAACCATATATATACGATTGTACAGCTTGATAATAAATTCGTTGAAAGAGTCTCTTCGCTGAATATTGTTTTCCTAATAGAATGTCTATCTGATTTTATTATTGCTATTTCAAAGCCCGCTTCAATAACGTACAATGCATGTTAGCCGCATCTTTTATGCAAAGGAAAATCTACCAATCACAGTGTGCGTAAGTGACCTTTAAGTGCTGAGCCATTTGTGCAGCTATCGTGTCACACTCCTAACCTGGTCAGTCAAGTGTTGATAGTGTAATGTCTATTTTAAGCTAATAAAATGGATATTGAAAGTGAATGTGGTTGATGCAAATCCCTTTAAACGTCTTGGAAGTACTTAATTCCTTATAATATAGCCTTGCGCTTCAGTTTGGTTTGAAAACCAGACATGTCGCTGATGTACAGTGTATTGAAGAACTAAAAGAATGAAGTTACAGTTGCTTGGTGACGTTGGCAAGAGAATACTTCCCGATTTAAGTGACGAGGCTAGTGAATATGTTGTAGATGAAACTGCTTGTAACGTCGAAAACGTGCATACTGACATGCAAATCACTTAACCAAGTGGGTTTCTTAGCTTTTCATGTGATGATTGATAAGCTGATGCTGCGGGCTCTCCGTCGTCCCATGAGAAGTGTTCTAATTACGCAAAAGAACGCAATTCGAAGGCAAAACTTGGGGCGATAGCCTTGAAGGTTATGCTGACCACTAACATTGTTGATGGTGCGAAGATAATGCGACTGCTTAAACAGCATCTTCCAAGTCTACCAGCGAATATAAGACACCTCCTCAAAACTAGCCAGTCTTGCCCCTCAGTTGTTATTGGTTGTGGAGTTTACCAGATATTGGTTTGCAAAGTATACTTACGTCTATACTGAGTTGTTGGCGGCAGTTTGCATCTTTTGATTGCATGAGTCTGCAGCTGAATGTTGGTGGATTGTCACTGTTTAACAATCGTACACAGCAAGTTTGACCGATATTGGGTAGACTGGCGAAACTGTTTCTCAGTGATATATTCCTTATTAGAGTTTATGGTGGTTTTCATAAACCGTTCGACTTCAATAAGTTTTTAATGCTAGTTGTAACTGACATGGAGCATTTGTATGCACATGGTCTGCAAATCATTGATAGGCGCATCGGCGTCCGGCTTAGCAATATCATCTGCGACAAGCCTGCAAGATCAGATGTCACTTTTACAGTAGGAAAGAGTGTGACAGATGTTGCGTTGTTGGAAACCATGTTAACCGATGCATGGTATCAGTGATGTAAACAGCTGCTGCAGAACAGACAGCAGCTTTAGGAATAAGGATGATGCCGATTACCACCGTGCCACATTCGTATTCGAAAGACTGCCAATTAACATGGTTAGTAGTCTCCCATTTGATTACATGCACTTGGTCTGCACAGGTGTTGTAAGACGCCATTTGGGTATATGGTTGCGTTTGGCAAAACAACGCCAATTTGGCTTAGGCAATGAAACAATTGCTTGCATTAACCAAAGAATGCAGACAGCTGCATTCCCAAGGACATCCAAAGGAAGTGTTGAAGTGTGAAGTTTCTTCACTTTTGGAAGGCAACTGAATGCCGGATATTGCTAATGTATTTGGGCCCAGAGGTACCTCTAGCGGCCAGTCAGATGCTTTGGAAGTAGGAGTGCATAATTTGAAATAATTGTCTATATACAAATAATGGAATAGTAAAAAATGGTTACATAAGATAATATTCTTGTTTATGTTCCAAGATCCCCCTAATTTCTCACAGGAGACCTCATAGTCAAGTTAAACCAATTTCTGAACATAAATTCGTCGAGGTGATCAATCCGTTCACCAGGTAGTTTCGTTTTGGGCTGTTATAGTTTAGAGTCACCGGTCGTTAATATGCTTTGGTATGGTTAGGAGCAGTTGATAGCAGGCTAGGTAGTGACGTATTATTTGATAACTCCTTTACAAGTGACCACCTGAAATGCCGCCTAGAAATATCTATAGCCCGCGGTTGTATCACTTAGTGAGATTTTGTAGAGTGACTAGAGATTACGACTCTTACCAAGAATATTTGACAGCAGCTACTACCCAAATAAACAACTTTGGAGTAATTCTGCTACACTGGTGGATATATTCGGACGTTTGGAGGAAAACGGTGACAGTTTGATGCATTTTCCAAAAACTACCCACTAAGTTGCTCCGAAATTTTGTAATTGTTTACGTCTCCAAAGAGAAGTCAGGTCTAAGGCAACCACTGCAAGGATTACTACTTTTTTATTCCTTTACATTCGCAGTGGGAAATACAGCTTCAAGATGGGGCTTTGAAGTTTCGGTTGCAGCGGTGTTTGTTTCTACGGGATGGGGTTGCTAACCGTATACCCAACCTTCCCTCTTTACCAGTTTTATTATTTATTTATTAGCGAGGTAAAGGAATGCGTCAGTCGGGGATTGAACCCCGATCTTTTGTTACTGAAAAGTTAACCAATAAAGTAAACTGACATCAAAATTAAAATGTTTCTAGTCGCTGTATATTATGCCATCGTCGAAAACCCTGCACTTTTCAACTCTACTTGAATGTCATCGGCAACCGACAAAGTGAAACAATTAAATTGCATCAAAAACTATTATGTTTTTAATGGGTGGCGGAAAATTTCAACACTTCCTATGTTTCTACTGCGTAATTATATAAGCTTAACTAAAGTGTTTTGGAATATTTAATGTACTGTCAAGGATTTCTCCCCACTTTTGTCACCATGGTGGTGTTTCATTATACCCTTAGAGAATGGGATCGGTAACGTTTGCTGTACACTTTGTATAAATAACAACCTATCCTACATGAGAAGCTAACACGAGGAGAAAGAAGCGGAAATAGCGTCAAAAGCCATAAATCAAAAAAGGGTGGGGCTCATGAAGTCAGGATTCAGATTAAGTTCAAACACTTGTGTCGTCACTAATGATTTAGAATCTTACATGCGCGAGGGAAAATTGAGGCCTGTTGTATGTTTCCAGTATCAAGCTGTGGACATTGTTAAAGCTGTTACCAAATGGACAATAGTCACACTTTTAATTTAATTATGAGTGACAGAAATATTGGACCAGTCGTCACAAGTTAAAGACTCCTGGTTCATCAGTGTAGACACTTCCCACCGCAAGTGTCAACATAGTGAAAATGTGGATAGTTGAGTTGTCAAGTTTCCAATAATTTGATAGTGTGGAAAATCCCCATATTATGAATTAAAAGTCAATCTGAACGAAGAATATTCTTTCCAATAATTTCTCTTCAGGTTCTTACAATTATAAAATATAATATTTGTTGTCGTTACAATAAAGGCCAGTTATGCGGCGGATACATTTTTAACGTCGAATAACAGATTAGTTATGGGGTGTCAAAATAGTCGTATTTGTGTGACAAACGTGCTAGGCTGAATTCGATTACAAGATGTAAAATGGGAGACAATGGTGATTAATCATAATAGGTTTGTAGAGTGTGGGGTAGGAAAATTGACAAGTCAGTTCAAGGTTATAAAAGGTGTCAGGTGAGTGGCTAGTACAAAGTGGTCTGTATTAAACAGGAGATGGTAAGACTGCAATGAGAGGTTCATAATGAAATAACGAATATGTGAAATGAAACAGGTGGAGGCATATATTGAGAAAAGAGATAACATCACTAATAATAAGTCCGGATAGTACAAACGAAAAATTCGATAGTATTGAGAGAATGTTTGCATGAAGGGCATAAATTATGACGAAAAATAATAATAATGTTAATAAAAATTGTAATAATAATAACATTTGTGATAATAAGCAAAGGAAAAATAAAAAGCCAAGAGGGTTAAGGGGAAGGAGCACTCTTGGTGAGAAGAAGAATCATCAATCCAAGTTTGGCCACGGTAGGAACAGCGTCTGGACGTGTTCTTTTTTGATACAAAGTTCCGGTTTAGTCGATCTTATTGCAACAGCTTCAGTTATGTGTAGAAGACGTAAGCGAACTGTGAGTGATAACGACTTCGGAATTCGATATATAACCCTGAAAGCTGTGTTGGCATCGATATGATGTCCAGTATCGACCAAGTGTGACAGGATCGAGCTTTTTATGCACTTAATTTCCCCTCTGCTGAACCAAGCTGGTAAATGTTCTCGAACCCGTAGACGAACCTGCCTAATCGTGCGCCCTATATAAATTGAGCCACAGGAACAGTTGAAATAGTATATTCATGAAGAAGAGCTAAGTTTAGGTAAGACATCTTTGAGTTGCTGGGTGAACATTGGACGGCTACTGAAGGATAGACACAGACGTGCAGAGTAGAAAGTTTCCTTGACCACCCTGGTTAAACGTTGCGATAGAATCTCTGCATGAGTATCTCCCTTGAATTGGAGACGTAAAAGCAGAGGATTTTTCTCCACCGTTGCCAGTTCGTGTTTACGACTATTGTAACCTATGTTGGCTTTAATGAACTTCTCTGGATATCCGTTCTCGCTTAGAATGTTTCGGATGACCTGGAGTTCTTTCTCTACAGTCTCGGGAACAAATAGACCTCGCTCTAAATGCTAAGCATCTGATCAGATTACGTTTGTATTTCATTGGTACAAAGCTAAGGAAGTGTGTATACTGAGCTTTGGTCTCTAGCTTTATAAATATGGTTCTTTTGACGGAACCATCCTCTCTTCTCGTTAGTAGGACGTCGAGGAAGTGTAGAGAGTCGTTGCATTCTCCTTCGTAGGTGAAATGGACCGCTGGGTGAGCATTATTGAAGTTGCTCAAAATCAAATCACTACTTAACCCTTCATCGTACACTACAAAAGTGTCAACCATGTAACGACAATACATTTCCAGCTTGGTTCAGCAGAGGGGAAATTAAGTGCATAAAAAGCTCGATCCTGTCACACTTGGTCGATACTGGACATCATATCGATGCCAACACAGCTTTCAGGGTTATATATCGAATTCCGAAGTCGTTATCACTCACAGTTCGCTTACGTCTTCTACACATAACTGAAGCTGTTGCAATAAGATCGACTAAACCGGAACTTTGTATCAAAAAAGAACACGTCCAGACGCTGTTCCTACCGTGGCCAAACTTGGATTGATGATTCTTCTTCTCACCAAGAGTGCTCCTTCCCCTTAACCCTCTTGGCTTTTTATTTTTCCTTTGCTTATTATCACAAATGTTATTATTATTACAATTATTATTAACATTATTATTATTTTTCGTCATAATTTATGCCCTTCATGCAAACATTCTCTCAATACTATCGAATTTTTCGTTTGTACTATCCGGACTTATTATTAGTGATGTTATCTCTTTTCTCAATATATGCCTCCACCTGTTTCATTTCACATATTCGTTATTTCATTATGAACCTCTCATTGCAGTCTTACCATCTCCTGTTTAATACAGACCACTTTGTACTAGCCACTCACCTGACACCTTTTATAACCTTGAACTGACTTGTCAATTTTCCTACCCCACACTCTACAAACCTATTATGATTAATCACCATTGTCTCCCATTTTACAACATCTTGTAATCGAATTCAGCCTAGCACGTTTGTCACACAAATACGACTATTTTGACACCCCATAACTAATCTGTTATTCGACGTTAAAAATGTATCCGCCGCATAACTGGCCTTTATTGTAACGACAACAAATATTATATTTTATAATTGTAAGAACCTGAAGAGAAATTATTGGAAAGAATATTCTTCGTCCAGATTGACTTTCAAATAATTGTTTTGTCTCGGTGTATCGCACGGAGTTTCGCACACACTTATTTAGATGCTGGTACATTTTGGTGGGAAAAAACGGGGATGCGGCTCACAGGCTTAAGCACTCGACTTCCAGTCAGATAGTCCTGGACTCAAGTCCTGCTCCATTTACCTCAGCTTGGATAACAGGATATCATCAGCATCCCATACACATGTGTGGCTCATAGCTTGGGACAAGAAAGACCTGTCATGGGGACTGAGTCCCATCATGGTGGGTACAGGATATCCGTGCCGTATTAGAAAGGAAGAAGTATTTTGTTTAGAAATACCATCTGTACATACTTTTAGTTCATACATATGTGTCAACTAATCACTAATGGGAAACTAGAATCTGCTGAAAAGTTGGCTATCACATCTGTGGCTGTACAACCTGAATTATTTTTCTTGATGTTACCTGAATTCAGCAGTTGGGGACTGTTAAATGTACTTGAAAACCAGCAGCAGTTGTTCGGATACTCAAATCCACCGTAGTTTTCTTTCTGAATTTGAACACTTAATTCTTATCTTTGTATTTTAATTGCAGTCCTTTTGTTAAGGTCTTGTTGTGTCACTAGTTTGAACAAAATATAACTTTTTAAAGTCTCATTATTTGTTTGTATGTACGACATGAGTCTAGAAAATGTTTGGTAGCATAATCATAGGACTATAACTTTCTGTAATGTCATTAATTTCGGAATTTTTGTTGTTTGCTAGGGAACATTCTTATAACGCATCACGTTGACGTATCAGAAAGTTTTCCAATGGATTTCACAATTTTAACGTCCATTTTATCTGGTGGTTTGGGTGTTTTTGCAGGTTGGTTTATTTTTCGGAGATTTGGAAGAACGGTAAGTGCCTTAGATTCTTAGTGAACGTTTAATCGTTTTCTGTCGAAAGGCTAGTGTCAGATCACAGATGACTAATTTCAAGCATGTTCCTGGTAAGATGAAAATGGTTTTAATAGTTCGTTCTGATCTCAAAATGGGGTGCGGAAAAATTGCAGCTCAGGTAAAACGGTCCATAATGTCTCCCAGATTATGAATGTTTTTCCAATTAGTGTTCACATGCCGCACTTGCCTGTTATGAAGCGATTATTAGTCAGAATCCTGGCATTCTAGAAACATGGGAAAGTCAGGGACAGCCAAAAATTGTTCTCAGGGTGGACGGTTATGACGATATGTAAGGGTGAAAAGTTCTCAGTTTTTACAATAAATCCTTTTTTCTAGGCTTAAATTATCCGACAAAGCTGAATCATTAGGTCTTGTAAATTCAATTATACACGACGCTGGACATACTCAGGTTGCAGCAGGTACCGCAACAGTCCTTGGTATAGGACCAGGTTTGATCTCTGTCCTTTCTTCATATTACTTTCTAAATTTTGTAGGTTTAGCTTCTGAAATTGATCGTGTTTCCGGTGATCTAAAGTTGCTTCCTTGAGAAAATTCACACACATGCATTTTATGTACAGTACTGAATTGTATTGTTGTATCATTACTAGATCGCTAAAATAAATATTTTTGATATTTTTCACGTTTTTAATCTGATTAGTGATTTCCAGAAACAGATTATCTACTGACTTTATTGGTTTATTCAGAAAATATGTAATGATGAGCACATGGTGTTTCCGAATAGCAAATACAATTATAGTGATTAAGAACTTCACAATAACAACAACTTTTGTAGTGTCTTAATGTGGCACATATGATCAATCCGTCTTTCAACTAGTTGAGAAGTTTTAAATAAACTGGATTTTTTCACGTGGTCATATTACTGTCAGTTGTTGTGGTTATGGTATGTTACACATATTCCACATCAGCTTATTGCGACTTGAGGTGTTCATTGAATTCCGAGTATTGTTAAAATTATACTGAAAAAAGCTGTTTCACAAAACATCCACCAGCAGGCACTTAGAGCCATTCCTACTGCTAGACAGTGAATTTACTAGTGACTAGTTTATTTAAAATCATTTTGATGGTTATTTTTGGGAATGCTATGAATACGGAGTATTTTTAGACTATTATTGCTAATGCTGACGCTGGTTAATAAATTGCTCAGTCTTCGTTTGACTGTCTTAATCTCATTTGTAGGGGGTTAGGTAAGCCTTTATTATTTATCTGAAACATAAACTTCGTTCAAAGGTAACACTTACAGATGCATCACATAAAAGTAAGAAAACAATATAGGGGAAAAATAGGACAAATTAGGGACATCATAATGAAAGCAAGTAAGTGCGCTTATCAAGAGCATTCGGAGGAGCGTTCATGACTGTATTACTATCAAAAGGAGAAGGTATTAGGAAATTACATCGTGTTCGCTATTGATTCCGATTCTCAGATAACGTCTGGAGCCACTGATTCCCATGTTCTCTCAGACCCCAAGAAGGCAATGGTAACACACCAAAAGGTGCGCACACAATATAACTGTCCTTTCCACGGTGCCAATTCGTAACCAGGGCTGTGCGCATAGAAGGGATGTACACCCGACCTTTCACAACCAGACTAGTAGTTCTAGAAGCGGTTTAGATTAGTGTATGAGACCCTGGATTTCACTATAATGTTAGGAATTTCACCCACAACACCATCACTAAAAAAACTACCTAAATATACGGACTTATCGGCTGCTTCTAATGGTCCACCTATAAGGGTGAGTGCAGGTACAGACTCCTACCGATGTTGTAACGATACTTAGCATTTAGATGAAGCAATCACATGACATACAAACACAGTCGCCAAATGAATAAGTGAAAAGTAAGACGATATAGTTTCTTCTCCAAGGTAGCGGATCTACATCACCACTTATTTCAGAACCGTCTGCAGAATGTCATTGATGGCGAAGTCAAAGGAAAACCTAATCTTTTCTATCCCCACTGGCTAATTAAGAGCAGTTGTGATAAGTAGTTTCATGTTATCGTTCTACCTGAGGTGCTTTTGTATACGGCTTCCAGAATGTTGACCAACTGGCCGTAGAGCATTATGATGATGAATACTGGCATTATTGACCAAGTAATGTGTTTCTCGAAGTGCTCAACGCAGCGTTCCAGACGTCTCTTTAGATTCTTAATCGGCATTCCACCTAAATCACAGACCATTTCTTGGTGCCACTAGCTTGTTCATTCATTCATATTATACATAGAATCGGTATTTGAGGTGGTGAAGTTTTTGACGAGCTCATAAAATATGATGATATGCTAGTACGCGTTTATAATCCTTCACCCCCAAAATACTTGTTTAATTTGTAGAGGAAACAGGTAGAAAACCAAGGTAGAACAACGATTTGATGGAAGTATATTTCGGGGTCGTTAGCATTGGGCAGTAATTGTACCTAACTAACTGAGAATCGTTCGTGAACAACCGAGAGTAACACGAAACCGTGCCAAATGGCTAGGGTGGTTGTTTGAACTCAGTTACTTGGAGCAGACCTTTCATGTACCAAGCTAATAGTTACACGTATTTTGTGTGATGGCTGATAGTTCTATCCAGTTGCTCAAAATGAACGTATTGGAAGACTCGAACCCGAAAGCCATTAGTTGGAATCCTGGTGCTTAGGCTGATATCCACATCTCCGCATACTGCTTACATTCAGCTTAACTAACTGATTACAATGGCCTTGAGTTTAACTAGTTCTGGTATTTGCTGTAATAGCAGGTTAAACCAGTTTACTTACGTTAACCTGTGTAGGAAGACGTTTATGGTCACCACCCAATAGCAACGTAAATCTGGCACACATCAAGACATGGTCGGAATCCAGACAGTTAGTTCAGAATAAGTGGCAGTCATATATACACTCATGTCGTCGGTAGCTGATAGCAGTATGGCTGTCTTTGAGTCCAGACTTGAGTAGCAGGAGAAGGACTAAACCAGATAGCATTATGGCAATGGCTGTGCCGAAGGAAAGTGCTCGCTGGAAATAAGGCACTCTACTCGAACTTATGCCATCAGATGAGAGCCTACGAATAGTTGTCATCTGAAGTGGTGTCCGTCAGGGATACCCACTATCTCCATTTCTGTTTTAATTTCATCATAGATGTACTAATGGATTTAACCTTAGCTGACTTCAGCGTCTCAGGGATTGACTTGATACCAGGGGATAATCTTGTCGACTTAGAATATGCGGACGATATAGTCCTCCTAGGCGAGGACGCTGGCAAAATGCAGAGTCTACTGAATACCTTGAGCAACAATCTTCGTATGTTTGGCATGCGATTCGCCCCTGTAAAATGTAAGATGATGCTGCAGGATTGGACTACACCGACCCCTAGATTAGAAATAGGAAGTGAAGTGGTAGAGCACGTTGACCGCTTCACTTACCTGGGAAGTACCAACGGGTTGATCTCTGGCGAAATATCAGCACGAATACAGAGGGTGAGTTTCGCATATGCCAGTTTACACCGTCTCTGGCGTAGACGCGATATCTGACTATCCACCAAAGGGCGTGTGTACTGCTCAACAGTCCGATCCGTCCTCCTTTATGGCTGAGACCTGGCCATTGAGAGCGGAAGACGTGAAAAGATTAGCTGTCTTCGATCATAGGTGTCTGCGTTCTATTTCCCGCGTGAAGTGGTATGATAAGGTGAACAATATTGAGGTTAGGCGTCGAGTGCTAGGTAAGTCGGGGAAATCAATAGATGAAACTGTGAAATTACATCGACTGAGATGGTTAGGACATGTGTTATACATGCCTCCCTAGGCATCGCCTTCCTCGACGGGCAATGTTAGCTAATATAAGGTCAGGCTGGAAAAGAGCTAGCGGCGGTCAAACGAAAACATGGCACCAGTCAATGAAATCCACAACAGTCAGCTTAAGCCACGTAGGAAGATGTAGACTTCCTGGTTGGGGTCCTTGGGACGGTAAAAACCAATGGTTGGAAACAATTGGTGACATGGCTCAAAATCGTTCTCAGTGGTGCAGATGCATCCACTCCTTGTGACTCATGATTTCCAATGAAACTGTTTTGTTCTTCGTTATTACTATTCCTTTGTCTCACACCTCTGTTTACTGTCTCTAATGTGCATTTCTCCCACTTTCTTCTCTTGCTTTGTGTGCTACATAGAGTGTGGCAACTCGAATGCTGCACATCTGTGTAAAGTTCTACGTTGAAACCAGTCAGTCAGGAAATAAGTTATAATCTGCGCAAGGCTACAGAAGCCGACCTGTGACCGTCTAGTCCCGATTGACCACCTAGATGACTCTCCTGTGGGTCTTAACATGCCCCTGTCCTCAACTAACATTGCTATATCTATGGAACTCGTATGTTTGAGGTCAGTCTTTGTTGACAGAACTTATCCTTAATTGTTTCTGGGCCACAATCCATCACTGTGTACACTTTACCTCGCCGATTGCTTCTTACTCTAATATAACTGTGTACTTTAGTGGAAATCCAGCCTAATAATGTGGACTTCGCTCTAGAGTTTAATGTGACATCAACGCCAGCTATGCGGGACGTCCGTACCTCAAGGTCCCCGGGTATATGTACATGAGAAAAACCATTCGAACTGTCAGATGGAAGCATTCGAGGCACTTAACTGGGATATCGTAAGCCGGTTTCTGATATGCAGCATATATCAAAAACTAGGTCTTCTGGTTCTCACCAGAGCTGTGTATTGTCCGGTTCGTATCGGTGTGCGAGTGTTATAGGTGGTAGGCTTGATCTCGTCAGAATAACTGTATTAAATATCGCAGTGGAGTTTAGCTTTCTACAAGTAATACAGTAGCAACTCAAAACTGTTTGAGATTTTAAATAATAAGCAGTAAATGGAGGAAGAATATATGCTAAAAATATGTGAGACTGACACAACATAATTTATATATTAGACTGAAAATATGGTGATAGTGGATCAAATGAGTGAATATGTGAATAGTTTAGTAGTTCACGCGTCTTCAGACGAAATGACTTCATTAATATGTAGTGTCATGTGATGGCTGAGGTACTGTTTGAACGCTCAGACCAAAGCAGGTGATTGTCTCAAGTGACGACTTTCCGGGCATTTGACTTCTAGTGAGATTTACATGGCAGCAGAATAATGTCTACCAGTCCGGCGGTGAGTGTTGAGCATTTACAGATGCATGCTAAAATTATGTCCGTATTTATGTTTCAGACTTGGGAATAACTACCGATAACGGGTGAGCGTTTAGATAACCATAATTTTGAAGTTAAAGCAAAACGAAAACAAGACAAGATTAAAAAACTGTGAGAAGTTATTAAAAGGGAGAGATTAGATAGAAAAAAGGCACTAAAGAATATTTTTACGTGAAACAAAAATAAGACAGGCAAAACATGAGGTAGGAATTGTTTTATTTTAATCATGGAAAAGAATCAAAATCATGAACACCTTTTACTCTGAAACTAAATCAAAAGTGGTTTAAAACTTAATGTATTGTTTTTCACACTAGTCTAACTACTACAGAAGTAGGAATGTTAGCTAATTTGGCTAGCTGAAGCGGAGGCTATAAGTATAAGAGACGGGGTTGATAACGTCCGGTATTATCCGAATATAACTTCACAGATATGTTCGAGGATAAGTTGATATTTCCTCATTCACATGTTTTCGTTCCCGATTAGTAATCTTTGATTTCTCACTAGACTTTTTGATAAAGTGTTACTGAGCTAGACTGTACTGCTTCTGATGTCCTGCGCATGAAGTCCTAGTTTCATTTAGGATGGACCCAATTTGGCTTCTGATGATCCATGCAGAAGTTCGTATGAGCACTTAATCTGTGTAAATTAGTAGTTACTGGTAGAAGTGCGAGCTCCCACTGCGTACGACAAATTCTTGCTAGTTAATTATTACAGGCTATATTAATGTGAATTCTCGATGAATATAATTCAGATAGGGCTATACTTCATTGTTTCCAATACACGACATATAAGTACTCCCCTGTAGTACCACATTCCTTCTACATGCATTGATTAGAGTAATGGTGGGGAGTATTCAGGTCTAGTTCACGACTTGACACAAGGTTGTACGTTAATACTTTTTCACAAATGTGAATATTTTGATATCAGATTTTAGTGCTGGTAAGAATCTATCTATCAAATATGTAAAGTGATCATCAAGATTGACAACATAATTCTGAATACAAAAATTAGGCACAAGCTTTCTGCCGATTTACTCCTAACATCTAACTCACATAAGTTTGTAAAAAGCGTCAGACAGTTTCCTCCCAACTTATTGTAAAGTACTGAATAGGTAATCGGATTCAGCAAACATCAAAACTATGGCTCATTGGTTGTACTGTGCAGAAAAACTATACTTAATTGCTTTTTAAGCTTATTGTCTAATGATTCGATTACAGATAGAGGATTTATCCGCTAAGTGTTTTGACATACAACAGACAACAAGAAGGAAAACTGGGTTAAAATAACAAACGCTTTCTTCATATTTTAAGTCTAAAATGTAAACGCATATAGAATTTCAAATAAAAAATGTTTGTTTTAAAACTGTCGCGAAAAGCAAATCTATAAAAAGACAATTGTATTCTAGTTAAAATAATAGGATACTCTTGAAACACACACAAGGAATTAGTATACAAATTAGTTACGTGCAAATGTTACATCATAATGTGCTCTTCATTCGCTTTTTTATCGATATCTTTACAATAATTCACTTTGTACACGATTTAAATTAGTCTCACATTCACAAACTTTATCAATAAAATAATTTCTATTCCGTATAATCTGTAGTAGATCTGCTTGTACATAATAAATATTCTCCCATTTCATGACTTCATTCATATCCAAACTGTAACTGTTTGATGATGATCCATTTTCTTCGAGATATTGTAAATCGATGACATTTGAACCGTCGTCTTCAAAACGTATATTATCATCAAATAGAATATGTTGAACAGTTTTGTCCTCTGGATTAAACCATATTGGTTTTGATGATTTGTAATGATAATTATGCGCTTGCCAGTAGGCGAAATCATCAATAACACTAACAGCACCAATTTGTTTAGACCATAAATTATAAATTTCGTTTGGATTATGTGATATTTCTATTAGTTGTTTTACATCATCAGTTGTTTGTTGTTCACTCTCTTTGTACAGATGAAATATCGGTTGTGTTTCAGAGCGTTTTAAATACCATTTGGTAAAGTCAATTGGTAATAAGTATTTAGCGTTTACTGGTGGTTTCTCTTGTGGATGTTCACCATTAACATAGGCTTCAACAGCAGACAGAATATGTTCACCATCTCTACCATAGGTGCGTATGAATATAGCAAATTGACGATTGGAGTCTATAAGCCATGTTAATAAACGGTAAAATGCCGGCATTAAATAGTGATAGCTATTGTTACTTACGTTGTTACTGTTGTCATTGTCATCATTTTTCCCACTTTTCACGCGTAAACAATATGGAGTATTGATACATTCTTCAGGTGTAAGTTTAAGTAATTCCAAGTGTTCGGTGAATAGATTTAGAAATGGTATTCCTTCTGGTGTTTGTGTAAAATTCCCAAGATATTTACGCAGTCGACCCCTATCGGAAGATGTTTTCACAATTTGCCGTTCTAATAATTTATAAATACTTATTGCGTCTGGTTGAGGTTGTCGAATACACGGTGATTCCGGTAGACGATTCCAACAGGCTAATGTTGATTTGAAATGATTCAGTTCGCTTGAAGTGAGGTTTTCAAAGTTTTCACCTGCATATGGTTGACGGTGATGACTTTGTGTGTTGACTGAAGTAATAATACCACTTTTACAATCAATTTCTTTTATGTAGTCTTTTAGTTTATTCGTCTTCTGGTTTAAATTCAGTTTACTTTCAGCTGGGATGCCTGTTGACACGAGGAGAAAGAAAAAAAGAAATTCTTGAAATAGTCTTTAACAAGCGGATTTTAGAAACATGTGAACACAAGAATGAAGATAAATACTTAAAACTCTTGAAAAATTGTGTTGAATATCCAGTGGAATACACTCGCTCATTGACGGGATTTTTATAGGATAGAAAGTTTGACTGATCATCATCAACGCACTCGACCAAGCTGCGCGTAAACCAAAATACACTGACCAGCTCGTCTGAGAAAAATGAACAACAAGAATATGCAGTAATAGATGAATAACAAAAATCAACAATGCATTCAGCAAAGGAGTTGGCTTTTGTAGCTTCCAGATTATTAGAAAACGTTTTAATGTGTTAAGTGACGAATGTTTGCTTTGAAATTTTATGAGAACTCACCCACTTAGACGATTGTGTAGACACATCTAGCTGACGAATATGCTATGGGAATTCACTAATAGCTATAAGACACAATCGAAATTATAAATTCTTAAAGACCAATTCTTAAGCTTGAAATGAGCCTCATGCCGCTAGTTCAGTGATAGCGATTAAGAGCCTGATTTATGCTTAAATAGTTGCTTACTAATTACTTGAAAGTATAGCGAATATCCCAATTTGTAACTTTTAGGTTTGACGGCTGGTACTCGCCTTAAGTGTAACGTTTTAATAATAATAATAAGCTTTATATCAAAACGGTACTGATGTTACAGTGTGGAATTTTCAGCATTTTGTCGAATATTGCATGTAATTTTATCGAACAACATTAAAATCAATTTTAGGAATAATATTATAGTATTGTTAATGGCACTTCTTATTTGGTATTTGTAGTGACAGTGAAGTCATATATATATATATATATATATATAAATTGTAAATAATAATAAGGTTAGTAGCCAAGATTGTCCGTTAATTGAGATAGCGTCACCATAGATTACAAATAGGAGGTAATAAAAGAGAATGGTGGCCACATTAAAACCTGACTGATAGAATTCAGTCTGCACCAAAGAGAGGACTAGACGCATCACACTAGTTACTAGTGTCAAATCAAAAAGAGCCAATTATTTTGCTAACAATATAGTAATTCATTAGTATCATGCTCTACATTGTCTCTATCGCATAGAATACGGGGCAAATAAGGTATGGTTGACTTCCTATACTTGGTCGTACGAGCATATAATCTTTTGTACTGACTTCTAGTTCTACTAGATGAGATACAAGGGGAGAGTTGAGAATAGAGGGGGGGGGTTGAGAGCCAGCCAATATAGATTTAGGCCATGAGTTCAGATGTCTATCAACCAATGTAGCGACAAGCTGACTAAGTTGCACAATACTTGCCCTACTGACAACCTTTAATACCCTCCTAAAAATAACGTAGTCCTTTTTCAGGAAAGACTAAAGGGAGGCAGCAGCAAACTAAAATAGGTAAGATACAGGAGTTGACAAATTTTAAAAGCAGAGGTTGAATGATTCCAGATTGTTTTAGCTTCTTAAAACAGTAGCTTAGACGGAACATTTTTTTGATATGATTATGAGCAATAGTTTGCGCTCGAAACGTCATCAGTTAATATTACTGTACAACACTGTGATTTATCAAAATAAAATCTTATTCATAATGGAGTTATTTTTTTGGAGATCGATAAAATATGGGACGACAAGTAACGTCAGAGGATAGAACTACACCAAGGCATTTTGTGTTAGATTTAGTTACTTTTACAGTCTCCTCTATGCTACAAGCATCGTATTTACTAACCAGTCACGTTTATGTCTAAATGAGAAGTCAATAGTCTGCCATTTTGAGGGATTTAACATAAGATCATCTAGCTTAAACCACTGACTGTTGTCCGATAAAAAGCTATTAAGTTTGCAACAGTCTGATTGGGACTTGACAGGAAGCGAGACCGTCAGATCATCAGCGTATATGATGTAGTTGATTTCATTAGAAAGAGGTAATTCATGTAAGAAGGAAGGAAAGGAAAGAGAACAGCACACTAAGGAACCCCACCTTCAGTATCCTTATCACCGTATTCAGTTTAGATGCAGTCTCCAAGTATAAGTATAGAGGATGTAGGAAGATATGACTAACATGAACAGACTTACAAAATGGTGACCATAAACTACACATTCTTGATAAAGTAAATTAAAGTTAATCCTTTTGGAAGCATGCAGTGGAAAAAGTGCATGCAACGTATGCTCGAGAAAATCTTTGCACTTGAACAAGATATGATTTTACGACGTATTTTACTTTTTATTTCAGTGGTGTGTTTGTAACATGGGGACGGAAGATACTGTAATTTTAACATTAATGGAAATTCGGTAATCTACTGTACATGTGGATGCCTTTAAAATAATAAAGAGAGAAGAGTAAAGAGTGCTTGCAGTTATTTGAGCTCGGAAAATCCGTCTGCATTAAGTGTATTGAATTGCTTACAAGTGCACTAATTAGTAGTTTCGTATTGCTGACTTTTTATTACGACTTACCTAAACATTACTTAGTTGGTATAAACACCACTCGTTACTATACTGATTGATTTTATTCATGGTGTAGAATAAACATCTTTTTTAAAGGAGATTGGATGATATCAAAGTTCTCTCAAAAGTTTATCATTATTTGAGTAATGACTAAATCGTGAGGTGCAGTTAAATTCTATTTATAGGACGCTACCTAATCCTAAACTCACAGAATGTCATAAAAATAAGTCTAAATATTTTCAAAACTTGAACGTAAAATAAGTATAGGAACTCGTGTGTTGACTAATAACACAGATGTTAGGTGCTCACAGTCTGTTGGAAGCCAACTTTGTACCCAGCCTCTGTGCTTATTGATAATTAGCAGTAACTCTTAAGAAAAAATATTTATCAGAAACTGAAGACTGCTGTAGTCAGTAGTAAAACTAGAGATTTCACAACTAGACTATTAAATCTGTTAGACTGAGTTGCTCACATAAATCGGTCAACAGGTAGTAATCAGTGGTGGTGGTCAAAACGTAAGAGCCAGCAGAAGACTGTCGATACGGCGTGAAGTGTGACTTCTGTGTCAGATGTAACACGATGGTATTATATGTCCAGATGTAGTCATTTTTCGCATATTTTAGTTGTCGTCAACAAGGCATACTGTGTATTTTTTAAGGAAATAACTTTATTTCGGTACATTGTTATATGCATTATTATTGTAGTAGACTTTTCAAAAAAGTTTAAGGAATCTGTAAGCTATATAACTTAATAATAAACTTATTCAGTATAACTGTTTGTAGGAGTGTATGCGATCGAGTTGTGTATTCAGTTTGAATCATTACATGACTATTGATCCTTTGACATGAATAACAGAAAGTGAGGTTACCATGACTTGAATTGATTTCTTCAAGATTCTGAAGTTGTTGTGGGGAGAGAAAATACTTTTTTCAAAGTTGCGATTTCACGTAGATTAATCAGCGAATTGTATGTCAAGGAACTTTGCAAAAATATGTTCAGAAATTCAATAAGCACTCCAAAAGGACTCGAAAAACTTGTTATCTCTATAAAGGAATGTTATGAATACATTGGTCATTGGAGAGTATATCTAGGTTGCAAGCATATAAATGCTTTCTGTCAACCAATGAGAAACAACTCGAAAGACATATAGAGGAATAGCCAGTAATAATAGTGGTTAGAGCCTACTCTACCAGGACAAGCTTGTATGGTGCTTATCGTTTAGTTTTAATGGCTTACATATTTCTGAAGGTTTCACTGATGATTTTGCCAGTAAATCATTGAAGACAAACCTTCCCGACGTTACACTATCGAGATACCACACTACTTTGGAAATTTAACTACTGAACAATTGTAAGTAGTATCAAGGCATAAATAATTATCCATCATTCAAGATAATTAAACGGTTAATTTTATGTACGCAACTGAGGAATCTTTAGCTTGAAAGAAACATTTTATTGTGTCATGTTGTTGAATGATTCTTAAATATATCTTCATTGACGATGCTTAGAAATTGGAAAAGGACACTTTTTTAAAAGTCTGTGTTTACTTTCTACCCTTTATTCAGTTATTTCTCCTTAAGTGTAATCGCATAGTGTATCCTGTATTATTTTTGGTTCCAGGAGTAAGGTTCTAGAAACTAATTGTCGCTTAAATACACGTATTATTATTATCAATTCTGAATATAAGCAGCGATAATCGGAGACTATTCAAAAGATTTTTCTATGTTCCTATAACATCATAATTATTCAAAACGCGAGCGTTATCAGTATTATAATTTGTGTTTCGTAGACTTCAGTCTGAAGGTATACAGAAAATAAGTTCTATCATATTAGTATGAAAAAGCAAGTACTTTTTTATCAAATAAATGCATCAAATACAAGAATTGATGCATTAAATGATAGAAATGCTATATGATACAAATTATGGTTTTTAGTTCCGCTGGCGAAATTATAGAATCCTAAAATGTACAAAAGAATTCTTGGAAGCATGAGTTTAATTTAATTTAGCAATGAGAAAGAATTAATATCTGCACACAATGATATGAACTATTGAAGACTAAATTTATTAAAGGGAAAATCGAAGTGAGAAAAGAAAGGTGTGCAAAACAAAAAAAATTTAATGAAGTCAAGAATATTTGGCAGCCCTCCTTCTAATAATAGGCTTTTTAGTGCACATCTACGAATTCTTGGGCCATTGAGTTCAGAACCATAAACTCTAAGAGATTGGACGTTGTCCCACTGAAATCAATTGAATCTGCAGTAAAATAACCCCTAATCAACTGCTTAGGAGTAGCTTTTGATTTCCTGAACATCTAATGAGAATTCAAGTGAGTTCAGTACCTGGTTTGTGAAGAAGTATTATCTAACGGGTGATGCATCCAGTTAACTAATTGACTAATACATGCTACTACAGTTCCCAGGTTTTGTAGATCTAATGGTTTGTGAAGACGACCGATGACTCCTGGTGGTGGTGGCAGTATGTTACTGGGATATACAGTAGGTGAAGTAACGCTAACCTGAAATATAGCAACTCTGTCAGTACATATATATATGTATTATATTTTGTGATTTGTTATTTCACTGTGTAATAATCCATATTGATGAGAACAGCACATTTTCTCTAGTTAATGTAAAATATGTATATTTTTTTGTGCTTTTCGAGTTGTGTGAGCATAAAGTTAATGTGCTTATCTCTTGGACTAACATTTATTTCCTTATGGATTAAGTATTAAAAATAACAATGTCTCAGTAAACTTCATTACGCGTAATTTATTTGCACAGAATTTTTTTCTATCCGTATATATATATATATATATATATATATATATATATATATATATATACCGAAAAGGGGCTTAAATAGCTGTTGGTTGTAAACATATTTCAGTATCATTGTCTGACCTTTCAGGTTGTCTAAGCACTACTACTAATACCAACTACTTATCTACTTACCTACATACTTAGATGTAATTCTTCGCAAACAATATCAGCCGCAATGGTATTCTAAATCTCAAGAAGTACATAATTAAATTTACAAGAAAATAGTACAGATATTGAGCTGTGTACTTTATTCTTCTTGTCCTTAAAGGTTGGTTATCTCATGTATAGTTTCTATTAGATGATATCTTTTTATCTTTATGTATCCAATCGATATATGTTAAAGTATGCACAGATGTGTGAACTTGATTGTTACAGGAGCCATTTCCTCATTATAAGATGTTAACCTATGTGTATGTACACAATAAACTCCAAGGGTTTATTGATACCTCATTGAAAGAGATATTTCATGTCAGATGAAATGCGTAGACAAACTACTGTATGTAGCTTTGTTGTGAATTTACTAATAGGAGTGTTGTGCCAATCTATGAGTCTGGTGATAGAAATTTAAAGAAAAATATGTTAAGTGCTGTATTCTGACAGTTTTCAACTCTCCTAGTAGGAAGTGCAACAAAATAGAACAAGTTAATGTAGACTACAGGTTGACAACATTGAAACTGAAATATACTGACATTGGGTGGTTACACTTTAAACGATATAGACGTTCGTCATAGAGGTTTGAAATACAATAGGACCCCGTAATATCTTTAATGTGTAGGTATGAAAATTAGGATTCAAGTCTTATTTTGGAGTCATCAGATGGATACACTTTCATCCACTCACTGCAAACATCTGTTCCCACCTATCTAACAAAACCGAACTGAATTCTAAGGAATCACAGCAGACCATATAGCAAGAGTCGGAACACTAACATAGACTGCTTATGTAGGCCCAGTGGAACAAACAGGAAATTAAAATTTTCTTATAACCATAACAAGGCTCATCCATGTGAAAAAGTATGTGTTTTTACTGTTGGAACAAGTTATGAAAGGACAAAAGGATTAAGTCCTGTCCTCAGTGATTCAAAATGAGATGAATAAAGCTACTTTTAAGAATTTCAAAATAAATTAACTTGTCGAATACTAAGAAATAATTACTTACTATGATTTTCTTTCATATCATCGGTAACATGAATCTTCGATGGCTGTTGAGTTCCGTTGCCATTGATTTCATCAGTAATGCTCATTGAATAGTCAGAGACAGAATCGTCTACTGGTGATGAAGAAGAAGCAGATGATAATGAATGAGAAGGAATCATAGATTTATCTTGTAAATTTGAATCGTTTTCTGATGGTTCTTGGTTCACAGTTTCCATTAATTCATTTCTCAAGTGACCTATGATGTTACACATAAAAGAAAAATGCAGCATAACTTATCATGCGTAGGTCAGGATAAGACATAGTAACACTCTGCAAAATTGTTGGCTATACGTGTTAGCTTTGCAGAGAGAGGTAGACTGTCTAGCTGATTTGGGTCCGTGAAACTACTGAATTTGGTGATATTAGACTTTCGATGATTTGAGACGAAAGGGTGTATTTTTACCTAATCTGCAACTTACTTGCAAATGTGTTTCATCTTTTTCGTCGTATGTCAATGTACCTGATTCGATTGTGTTATTTCTATTTCTTGTTATCCGATTTACAATCATGGGAAGATGTGAGATTTAGTAAAACTGACTGCTGCGCGATTATTTCAGGTTCGAATTTAACAATGTAATGATATCATCAATGTATGCATAGTGAGAATTATGTAAGTACATAAATGTTGATATTCAACTAAGTGGAAGGATAAAATTAGTTCAGTAGCCTGTTAAAGGTTATATGGCCTAATCTTGGACTACAGCATTACTAAGTTTCTAGACCTTTGTGCGTATAATAATGCCACAGCCTGGGTGGAAGTTTAGTGATTGTGCCAATGAGTCCAATCTCCAGGATGGTGTATTCTAAAGGCAGTCAGGACATCTTTAGAGAGAAGCAGGTCCACAAATTCTGTACATCAATTGAAAATAAGCGATTTAGACTTTCTTAACTGACAGAGAAAATGACAGCATCAATCTCATCTACTTTTCCAATTAGTAAAGATGATTTCTGAGCCACTGGTGCATGGCCAGTGGTGGGTTACTTCGATACTTTTCAGTGAGTTGTGGTTTTTTCTCACACACCGATTGAATTTTGTTGATGATCATGGTGGTTATGATAGTAGTAGTTATAGTATTGTCACCACAATTATTCATATTATTAAGAATAAAGTTGACTAATTTTGTTTATATTAGTTCTTGAAACATCAATCACGAATCGGTGCTGAAACTGGTTTAGTGTATGTTCGTATTTCATGATAGTTTATACGACAATATCTCGTGTATGTGTGTGAGGCATCAGTACTCATATGAAAGAATAAAGTAGAATTTGCAAAGGTGAATTAAAAATAAGCATCTACTTATAATATATCTTAGAGACTTCGGTATTTTGGGGTTGTGTAATTTATTTCCCCTTAAATAAATATATGACTAACTATACAGCCGCTTTAAGAACATGAATTAATTGCATCGGCTACCGAAATTAACCTGTCGTGAGTCAGTCTCAGTGATCATACAAAGATATTTTTGATGCATGTATTAAGATGATAGTGATAAAAATGTGTATGTAGGATATTAACGGTGGTTGAACTGGAGTGTGCTAAATGGTTGTGCGTCGTTAGTTCAATGGTAGAATCCTTTCCAACTACACACATGATCTGAATTGGATTTCCACCGACTGCACTCTTAAACCAAACTCAGCAGTAAGTTCAGAAATGAACTAAATTTGATAAAGAGTTACGCTAGCAACTTCATGCCATAAAAGCAAAACCAGCTCTATTGAAACTTTAAAAGCTTGCAACCCCATTTTCCACTCAAAAGATAAAAAATGAGAACAAAATGCCGAACGGTACAACTGATTACAGCTTTTTGACTTATAATGACAAAGTTAAGAAAAAGAGCTTATTTTAAAGATGACCAGCACTGGAATTCATGGTAGGAATAGCATCCAATTTAAACAAAACACCTGGATATGCATGCATAAACTGGTGTCTTTAAAGCGACTCGGACTTATCATGTGTCTCCGAAAACTTCACAGAATTATCTAATGTGCTAAGGAATTATGAAGAGCACGTAATTCCAGTTTCCATCGATTAATATTATTTAAACCAGCACTGTGGTTTATTTTTACATGCGTCCAGCTTTCATTTAAAAAAATCATATACTGGAAGTCTAATTTATTCATCAAAATTGAGGTCATTATGTAGTACCACTAGTCCACACACTTACAGATGTGGTTTATAGATCACAGCACGTCAAAACAATTAATATAGAAATTGAAAATAGGCTACTATTAATAATCATTTAGAAGTGACAATCACATAAAATGTTACAATATAAGCGCCTCCATCGTGTTGGAAGTATAGTTTGTTATTTAGAGAACTCATGATTTAACTAATATTTGTAGTTTAGTTGCAACTCCTCATACTGGTTAAACTTTCGGTTGGTCGTTTAGACCGAATGACGTAGAAAGACCAAAAGAAACTGTCTAGCTTATCGCACCTAAAAGTGATTAAATGCGTACCAACAACAAGTACTCTGCAAAATACTTGAAAGTATGTTTAATCATCAGTAATTGACATTTTAAAAATAAGAATGTATTTTTGAATGGTTATTCACAATTTAACCCCAAAGATTATAGTTTGAAGTCCAGGGTATTAACATATATGTTGGTAATAATGACATCTGCTAATACTCTAGATCGTATACATAAATTAGCCATGAGATGGTAATAAATGCAAGTGTTTACTTCTCGCTGGTCATTGGAATTACTCGAAAAAGCGACAATGTTTTCAAAGTTAGGAGCGATAAAATACTGTGTTTCATCCAGATCTTAGTGTTATGTATTATAAAACAACCGATATATGTTCTGCTTGGCCTGTATTTCTGGCTAATCAAACCTATTTCAAAATTAAAGTGGAGGAAATGACCATTTCCAGCAAGACAGTTATGATTAGGTATTTCACCTTTTCCTGATAGATTTAGGCTATTAATGCAGTGTTTAGAATTGAAGTGTATACACATTAGTGTATATGTTTGGGAAACTGATGCATCATCGATTATATAAATAGCATGAATTTTGATATTGATCACTTCAGTCAGTTCATCTACACTTATGTATACATAAGTCATAAACATAGGTGCGATTATTTTTGTTATCGAACTCTATATGTGACTACTTAGTATAAATCTTAGTACTATTAGTATTAGTATTATTTATATTTCCTTGGGTTCCAGGAAGAGCAAAGGGTTTCAGAAGCACATCTCCATTTTATCCAGTTCTCTGCCATCCTCTTTAGATGGCCCCACAACTGCCAATAGGCTCTCATCTCCTCCTCACACAATCTCCTCCATGTTACCCTCGGACGCCCAAATTGTCACTTGCCATTGAGGTTTTGCCTGCCGCGCGATGCCAACCAACGGTTTCCCTAATGTGTGTTCGATCCATCTCATTTTCCTTTGGTATGTTTGTTGGGCAATAGGCCTTTGGTTGATTTGCTGCCAGAGCTCCCTGTTACTTACCCTTTCTGGTTATCTGATCTTCACCATGGAGCAAAGGTAGCTGTTTATAAAAGTCTGCAGCCTGTTGGGAACGATATTTCGTGACGCAAGGGCCAGGTCTGTGAACCACATAGAAGTACTGATTTGGCACTATTGTTGAAGATCCGGATTTAATTTATTTTGTCAATTGCAGATTTTCACATTGATTTCAAATTTACGAAGGTCTGTCTTGCTTTTCAGATCCTGCCTTTTACATACTCATCCGTGCCACCTTTAGGTGAAACGATGCTGCCTATGTAAGTGGAAGGGGTGACTTCCTTCATATTTCTCCAGTTGGCGGTGACGTCTACTTGTATTCGTGAGTCGTTAGGTACCTTCGTCACCTCCATCTTCGCTATGTTCACCTGCAGTCCTGTCTTCGCTGCTTATTCTGTCAACTTGTTGGCTTTCGCCTGTAGACCTCGAATGTGCGCGAAATTGGACATAAATTATCCACGAAGTTCAGGTCTTCTAGAATATTCTTGTTGGCTCAATGTATTCCAGTATTCTCACTCCCTATGGTCTTCCTCATGATACAGTCCAATCAGGAATGTCACTGATGATAGCAGGCCTCTATTTTCACTTCAAATGCTTCTTTGAGTATTCTGTTGTGGATTATCTGACACATGGTATTGTCACAGCTGTTGAGTGAAGTTGATAGACTTGGGCACTGCATGCCATAGTGTTGAAGCAGTTTTCAAATTACTTCACGGTGAACGCTACTGAAGGCCTTTTCAAAGTCGGTGAAATTGAGGCAGAGATTTGACTGTTATTCTAAGCTCTGTTCGATGATGATGCATAGAGTTGCGATTTGACCAGAACATGATTTGCATTTTGTGAATCCAACTTGTTCCGATGAGGTGGAGTTCTGTATCCAGTGCATTTTTCATCCTCTCCAGGTTGACGTGAGTCAATATATCGCTCCGCATGGACAAGAACATGATTCCGCGCCATTTCTTGCAGAGGCCTAAGTTTCTTTTCGTTGACAGTTTGACAAGGAAGCCTTCCTTCCAATCAGCAGGTACTATTTCCTCCCTCCAAAATTCTAACAATAATGGTGAGAGCATATTCGCGATGGTCAACGGAACCGCTTATAGTGCTTCATGAGGGACTGTGTCCAATGCTGCTGTCTTCCTGGCTCTCAGTAGCTTGATTACATTTAAGACTTCTGTTTTTGTTGGGGGAGGGTTGGTTTCCACTGGCAGTAATATGGTTGTTGGTCACATTGCAAGATGAGTTGTAGATGGTGGTCGGCTTAGGGGTCCTTTGGTAAGCCAATTGTTTCTTTTGTATCTTCTCTTTGGTAACTAGTTTGCCTTAACCACTTTTTATAGGTTTCATCTGCATTGATCATCCCCCAGATGGAGACCTGGTTATCTGACATAATCTCCTGAGATCTCTTTTACCTGCCACCTGCTCTGCTCTCGCTCCAGTCTGGCGTCTTTTGTCTTTCCTAGCATACTTCTTCACTTATTTATTCAAAGTGATGTACATTGATCTCTTCTTCTTCTGTTGCCCATCTTTACAGTGACTCATCTTCTGTTTTGTCATCCCCTATCCTCTATCGAATTCCACGTTTCTGTAGACAGTCACTCCATGTTTTGCCTCTTCTTCCTTCCTGAGATAGCTGCACAGGTTTTCTTCAATATCACACTCGGAGAGTTCCAGTTGTCTTCTACACTGGTTTCGTCGGTGCTGCTATATAATGTCTCCGACTTTC